CCCTTCGATCCTGCCCTCGGAGAGGGGGGGAGGTCTATGACCTACCTAGTTGTCCGGCATGCGAGGGCATGCTCGGCCGTTCGGAGTCCCCCCCTCGTAGAGGACGTCGGAGAGAGGCGAGGACGACTGTCTCTGACGGCGGACCTCAGTTACGAGCCGCCCTCCCCTCGAGACGCGAGGCCAGCGCACACTTGGGGCCGAGCCCCAGCGTGCACCGTCCCACACGCCTCACGCGGCCTCTGGCTGGAACGGGATCGCAAGCGAGTCCCCCAGGCCGGCGCGCGTCTTCCGAGAGAGGAGCGGGAGCGAGGGACCTTCTTAGTTGTCCGGCATGCAGACGCATGCACGGCCGTTCAGAAATTTTCCCAGCCGTTGGAATGGCTGCGCTCCCGCCCCTCACCGGGCCGCGAACGGGTAGTAGACGTTGGCGCCGAAGAGGGAGGAGTCACCGAAGGTCGGGTAGTCGTCGGTCATGCGGGGGGAGGAGGAGTCGGCGAGCAGCAGGGAGGAGAAATGCCTGAGAGGGTGGGGGGGAGGCGTGAGGCGCAAGGTGAGGGGCGTGGGGGCGCGGGGCGCGGGGCGTGCGTGGGACGCGAGGCGTGAGGCGCAGGGCGTGGGGCGGGAGGGCGCGGGGCGCTCGAGTGAGGGCAGGGTGTGTTGTGTGTGTGTGTGAATGTGTGTGTGTGTTGTGTGTGTGTGTGTGTTGGTTTGTTTGTGCGAGGGCTGGGCAGGGCAGGGCAGGGCGGCGGCGAGCGGCGAGCGGCGTCGGCGAGTTCGGCGACGAAGAGAGGCGATGGTGACGTACACGGCGGCAGTGTTCACGGCAGCAGCGCCGGTGGCGGCCCCGCGCAGCGGTGGCGGCGCCCTGAGTGAGGCAGACTGCCCTGCACAGCCTGCTGGGAATGCTCCCGACGAGCGGCGCGCCATGCGGGCCCGCCGCGGGCGACGCGGGCGGCGAGCCGACACGCGTGTCGCCGGCGTAGACAGCACTGGCGAAGTGAGGCGGCTGGCGCCGGCCCCGGAGGCGGCTGCAGTAAGAGCAGCGAGGCAGAAGTCACTGTCCATAGCGTACTTGAGCAGGCTGCCATCGAGCAGCGCGCAATGCGGGCCTGCCGCCGGCGACGAGATTGGAGAGCCGACAGGCATCGAAGGGG